GGATATATGAGTAAAATACCATATATATTATAGAGAGACGGTCACACGTGAATAGTCTGATTTGCCCTGTCACAATTGGTTCAAAGATTACATAATTAGATTTTCCTTTTCTTGTTTTTTTTGTCTCAATTTAACATCCATAATCTGTTAAGAAAAACAAAAAACATCCATTAAACCATAGATTTTCTTCTTGTCTCAATTTAATATTTCATTAAACCATAGATTTTCAATTTAATAGATGTAGTAAGTTGATAAAAAAAATAGATTTTTTTTTTATCAATATAAACGATTTCAGTATTTGATAGATGGAGTAAATCATGTTGACAAAAAAAAAAAAAAAGGATGGAGTAAATCATATATAACCTGCATGATTTGTCCCACGGAATAATCAGCAAATCGTTTAATTTAATTGTTGACAAAGAAAACGATTTAATCCACGAAACTAGAATCGAAGTATGTATAAGATCATTTCAATAACTTCAGATATGAAATTTGAAGAAATCATAAATTTAGGTATGTATTCACATAGGTCACAACTAACTAAAGTTCATAGTTAAAAACTCGAATTGACCGGTTTGTTTTTCAAATTTTGAACGCGGATTGTTTAGTATGTTATTTGATATTTTCCGTTTAATTTTGTTATTGACAAAAAAAGTGATAAGATTGTGTTCGAGACCAAAGCCACAAAATTACCAAATCTAATAAACTCAATTGCAAACAAATGATTGATGTTGTTCAAAAATGCATTTGCACCAACAACATTCACCAATATAGAATAAAAACACAACAATCTTTGAAATGGATAGAGAGATTCGTTCACATGTTTTTGATTATAGCTAAAAAGCTGCATAAACTAAAAACTTCAGTCAAAGCCTTTTCCATATATGGAGAGAGGCTCATCATTCATACCAATCACAAAAACCTCTAGATCAGAAGCTTCTCAATGGCATCTTTAAGCTGCTGGATTTGAGTTTTCAACTGGCTAGCCTCATTCGATAAAACAGAGCAAGCAATCACAGGTCTCGTTACTCCACATGCTCTTCCGAGTGCTTGTTTCGATGGCACAAACACGTATGGCACGTTCTGCAACAAAATCACAAAAACAGAGAACGAACAAAATGGTTAGAGATTTTTGCTTCTGAACCAAATTGCTGATATATAATAATAAAGATATGTATCTATGCAGAGCATGTTTCTCGACAAAGCAAAAGCAGTAATATACGAACAATATGTTTGAAATATGAATATCACATTCTTCGGCGATAAAATCAGAAACTACATTCCTCATATTGCATATCTGAATAATCACTGACTAAATTCATCACATAGACTACATTCCTGACATTGGATACAGACAAAATTCATATCTTAAAGCATGGTAAATGCATTAAAATGTGCTTCTTTTATGCCTAAAAACCCTGAGTTACTACATTGCGAAACTAAAAGATCTACACACAAAACTATAAGATCTCAAAACTGGAATCTAATAATAGACCAAAGCTTCAACATTAAGATACATACAGTTCCATTTTCTAAATGTTTCATACGAAGAAGAAAACACTGTATAAAAACTCAAACCTTATCTTCGGCGAGTAAAGGAAGATGAAGAAGGATCTCGAGAGGCTCAGCATCAGCAGCCATGACGACGAACTCAGAGATCCCACGGTTCAAAGTCTTGGTAGCTTCGTTAGCTCCTTTCTTGAGCTGTTTGTAGTTGGTGGCTTGTTGAACGAGATCGAGGATTGTTATCGCTAACTGAGCATCGGCTAATGGATACGCCTTAGGGTTTACTGCATCTGCTACCGTCATCTTCTTCGAGTGTTCCGAGAGAAGCGAATGAGGTAGAAGGAAGAAGCTAGGGTTTTTAATTTGTTCGTTCTAAAGGGGGATTTAGGGTTTTATAAAGGGAACTAAGCGGTGCCTCTGGGTGAGTTAGAAGGTTTCAGATCTTTTATATTTAATAAAAAAATAATATGGGGGATTTGCAACAAAACACCTGAAATTAACCATGTTTTGCAGGATACGCCCTGAACTAGGGAAACTACAAAACTATGCTCCATCAATATAACAATAAGATGACATAGTTATCTGTATTTATTTATTATCACCAGTTTAGAAGGTTTAGTTCGTAGAATTTTATCTTCTTCTTTTGAGATTTTCTTGAAAAGAATTACAATGTAGAAAGTTTAGTTGGCGGAATAAAAAACAAATATATGCTAATGATTTTAATAATTTTTGTAATAAATGAAAAAAAAAAAATTGGTTATGAATTTTTTTTGTTTATAATTTTTTTGTTTGTTTAAGTTGACAAATAATGGGCTAGAATTTATAGGGTGTTATAAACTTAGAA